GGTCTTCATGAACTTGATCAATGAGGTCTTGCAGAAGCATCTGTTCAAGGGGGCCCTTGTTTACCTAGATGACATCTTGCTGTACTCCCCCGACCTCCCGTCCCACGTGAAATAGGTGAGGGAGGTGTTAACCACGTTGCACAAGCACAAACTGTTTGCAAAACTTTCTAAGTGCGAGTTTCATAAGACACACATTGACTTTTGAGATCTCGGAGAGGGGTCTGGAGATGGATCCGGAAAAGGTGCGAGATGTATTGGGGTAGGGGGTACCCCGCACCCGACGACAGCTCCAATCCTTCTTAGGATTCGCGAACTTTTACAGAAACTTTTTAGCCAATTTTGCCCAGATCAGTTTGCCCCTGACGGATCTATTAAAAACTAAGGGGAAGGGCCCGGAGGCTACAAAGCCGGGAGCAGCGTTGCCTTGGAATAAAGATTGCCAGGAGGCTTTCGAACGCCTCAAAGCCTTGTTCACTTTAGAACTTGTACTTGCTCACTCTCATGAGACTAAAAAGTTCATTGTACAAACAGATGTGTTGGATGTGGCCATGGGGGGGCATCCTCTGGGGGGGGGGATGGGTTGCTTCACCCCTTGGCATACGTGTCAAGGAAATTCAATGACACTGAACGGAACTGGTCTTTTTGGGAGAAGGAGGCGGGGGCAATAAAACTCACTGTCCACCTGGCGGCATTGGTTGGAGGGAGCACGAGTCCCGTTCGAGGTATGGATTGACCATAAGAACTTAGAAACGCTAAAAACACCTCAGTGTCTCAATGCCAAACAGCTTAGGTGGGCAGATTTCTTTTCCAAATTCCAGTTCACCCTACACCACTTCCCGGGCTCAGCAAATTCGTTGGCCGACGCCCTGTCCTGCCTACCCCAACACGATAGCCAATGGGAGGTGGTCTTGGACTCGGTGTTCACGCCTTCGCAGTTGGGCGGGGCAGTGACAACACGGAAACAAGCACGCCTCATCCTCCCCCCCCCTGCGACAACGCAGCCCGCTCCTTCAGGACAGGAGGGGTGTGGACACTTGGCGCAGTAAGTTCGCCTCCACGTTCTCGGAGGCCGACAAAGCTGTTCTACAAGCAGAGGGTGGTTTTGAAAGGAGGGAAGATGGTTGTTGGTACCAGGAACATAAACTATTCGTTCCCCTAGCACTCAGGGGGGAGGTATTGCAAGCAGTGCATGGCTCCAAACTGTCGGGACACCCTGGATTTGTTAAATCGCTTCAACTTTTGAACCATCTATTGCCTGTTGGTCAATATTAAGTTGGGTATGGCTGAGCCTCTCCTAGCTTCCCCCACTATTTGATGAATGAAGGCGTCAGCCAGACAAGTCAGGAACCTGCCTGACTGTGGACGCTTTGCAGAGTTTGTCTCCCAGCACACATCAGGGAAGTTGAAGTCACCCATAACTACCAGGTCATGTTTGGATATCCTTTCAAGCTCTTCAAGGAGGGCAGCATCCACCTCCTCATCCTGGTTGGGAGGTCAGTAGCAGACACCAACCACCTGTTCGTCGTTCCTTCCTTTATCCTCACCCAGATATTTTCCACTGAGCTGTTGCCCTCCTCCTGCAGTATTTCCTGACAAGCAAACCCTCTCTTCACATACAGCGCCACTCTGCCTCCTCTTCGACCCTTTCGGTTTCTCTTGAACAACTTGTATCCATCCACTACTACATCCCAGTCATATGAATCATCCCACCAAGTCTCTGTAATCCCTACTAAATCACATCCCTCAGTCTGAATTAGAATCTCAATCTCTTATTACCCAAGCTTTGGGCATTGGTACAAAGACACCTGAAGCCCCGCACCTTTGGCTCCATTAGACCCAGCCCTCCCAGGTGGGCCTCTGTCTCCTTCCCTTTGAGGTGTCAGTTTTAAGTCCTCTTGATGTATCTCCCCAGGTTCCCAGCAAACATGTTCTCCCTTGCCCCTGAAGTGTGAAGTCCGTCGTGTGCCAGTAAGTCTGGATGCTAAACAATACATTATAGAGAGTGTTTAAATTATCATGTAAAATCAACATTTTAAAAGTTTTTAAAATTAACATAGTTTTGTATTATAAGGTCTGATGAGAGTAGTCTTCTGACAAGCTTGGACTTTACAGATGGCCAGAAGAAATAAAGCAAAATTTGCTAAGCTGTCAAAATGTCCTTATCTTCAAATCAACTGAATCCGATTTGTTTGCTTAAATACAAAAAAGCTGCAAGAAGCCAATCAACTTCGCAAGAAGCCAATCAACTTCTCCATAAAATAATGCTCTTTTACAAGTTCGATTTATCGCTAACCACCAGCCATAAACACTTTCAAAATCCTATAATCAAATTATGAAATAGATGCGCATCACTACATTACACTTGTACTCTTGCCACTTCTCTACTTCAACTGCCACAAGTTGACTGTCCTTTTGCAGCGGCATTTCAAAAGTCTTAAATCACATTTTTCCTGACATTTGACCAATTTCCCAGACTTTCCAGAAAGTGGCAGCCCTGTACTTCCTACACCTGGATCCACCTCCACAATTTGGGCTCCCCCTTGTCTTGTCTGAAGAGGAGACTTACAGCAGGGATACCTCTCACTCCTGTTTGGTTAGCCAACACCAAGGGAACGGAATATCCCTGACCTGCTGCACCATCACGCTCTGGATCTACAGTATAAACCTGGAATGAGCCCCGCCTCCTCAGGGGAAGGAGACCAGAGAGAGTGTTCCCCCCCCCCCGGGCATTGTGGACGGCCTCTGCCCAAGAGCCCTGAAGCCCACCAGCTCCTTTGCTTCCTCCCCAGAACAACTGAGCTCCCTTTGCTTCCCAGGCTTGGGGGCCAGTTGTGACTTGATGGCACTTCACATACACACACACACACACCTCTTCTTAAAATCAGGCACTGGGGCTATGACTCCAATGCCCAGTAGGGGTCCCTGTTGTATAAGGGTTCCCTGCAGCCCAGACGACTATCTAGATTGGGGGGGGGGGGGTCAGCAAATGTAGTCCTATTTCTGGAACATGTGGAACGCAAAGACATTTGGGGAAAATCAGTGATAACCAGATGTTCCTTAATGGAAAAAAAGGATGCCGAATTAGAAAATCCAGATTGCTTAGTTTTATAATCCACTGTCTGGCTCTCATGATAACAATAAGGAAAAGTTCAATTTCCAAATTTGCCTGATACAGATTTAGTGCTTCCTCTTAGAGAGGGACAAACTTATTTTTCAAAAAATATGTTTATACCTCATATACCCTCTTGACTCAAAGGTAGTACAAAATTTACTTTGGTAATAGTACCCGTCAACTTCTGGGCTGCTTTTTCCAATACAGTTTCTTTCGCTTTTTAAATAGCTTTATTTCCCAGGAAATTTTATTTAAAAGGTTAACATTTTCTTCCTGTTCACTAGAGCACACCATCAAGGATTATGGGCTCTTCAGATTCCACTCTATCTTTCTTCATATGCTATGATCACTGGAATACTTCTAAGTGGGGCACTGTTTGCATCACAGATATTCATCAGAAATCCTTGCTGAATTCAAAACATGGCTTGGATCTCACAAAACAACTCTGTGGAAAGATCGATGTGGACAAGAGGCCAAGTAGAAACTGCACATGAGGGACGGCAGCTGGAAATTCTCAGCTCAAGTGCCTCAATTTAGTGCCAGAGACATTTCTGCTCAGCAAAACTGCAAGCTGGTCCTCTTGCCACTGGCCGGGGGTCTTATTGCACCATAACAGACGACTACATATGCATCACATGGTCAAGGTAATTTCTGGGCACAGGGTGCCAAAAGCCTTGCTCCCCACCTTAACTGGAGTGACCATTTCACAACGACCTTGTGAAGCAGAAAAAAGAGCCCTAAAACAACTTGTGCACAAAACACTCCTAACAATAATCCAATTTGTAAAACAGAGCTCTTACCTCTTTCCCAAAAAATCGGAGACAAAAGCTAACATTGAGTGAGAAATCAGAAACAAACCACACTGAGAAAGATACTTTATTTTGATACAGCAGCCAAATACTTCCAAATGAGTATCACCTCATCTTACTGAGTATTAATCTTGATAAAAGGAAGTTTTAAATTTGACCTTCCAATCTGCTGCTTCAGTATTGCTCTCTCTCTCACACACACACACCCTGTATCACAGCATCTGACAACATGCAGGGCAAGTAGTGCCTTGGTTCTTCTCACACGGTTAGAGAGGGAGCTCTTGCAGTCCACTCTGCCCCAGGGACCCTTGGGGGGGGGGGCACAGGCTTGTTTCCCGGGTTCCCCATCCCACAGGCCCTCAGCCCATGTTCTTCCGGTTGCCGTAGCCCCTGGGGTGCGTGTCCTTCCAGTCATCCCACTCCCGTGCTTTCCACACTGGTTCTTCCTCCTCCTTCGCTGGCCCTTCTTCTGGGTCCTTCTGTCGTTCTTCTGTACCTGCTATAGATCAAATCAAATTCAGATTACAACTGATCTGACCAGAGATGAGATCCTCATGTCTGAAACTACAAAACAGCAACAGAAACAACAAAAGCCCATCTGTTAAGAATATACGACACCCTGCTAGATCAAGCATGCTGTTTCACACAGGGGCCACCCAGTGGTCCTGAAGGGCCAACAAAAGGCACTCCCCTTCAGGGAAGGATTGACTCACGTGTTCATTCTGGAACTGCCCACGCTCCCTCGAGAGCAGAGGCACTGGCAGCCAGCGTGCCAATTAACTGAATGCTGGATAACACAGCATTTTACTGTATCATGGTTTAACAGCAAAAAATGCATAATCTACAACTTCTGCACACTACGCTACCTCAGAATACACCTCTTAGCTTTTGCCATGTGAAGAAGTCACCATGTGAGGCAGGCGGGGCTCAGGGAGTTCTGAGAGAAACTGTGACTGGCCCAGGGTCACCCAGCAGGCTGCACGTGGAGGAGGAGGAGGGGCAGGAGGGAGTCAAGCCTGGTTGGCCAGATTAGAGTCTGCCACGCTCAGTCTCAACCACCACACCACGCTGGCTCTCAACCATACTTCTCTCTACTGCTGTTAAAACCCACTCCTCCAAAAGGCAGCACTTCCCTTTGCACAAACCAGGCTGGTCCCCCCCCCCCCCCAAAGCAGGCTGTGATCCTCTATGTACTGAATAATTTTCTCTTGACCACCAGAATCTAATGATCTACCCAGAATGCACGGTTGTCTGATTGGCCTGTAATCTCCTGGATCTCCTCTGGGCCCCCTTTAAAAGAATGGCGTTACATCTGCTACTTTCCAGTCCTCTGGTACGGACTCCAATGTTAGCAAAGAAAGGTATGCATCGGTTAGAAGGTCAACACATTTCACATTTGCCTCTAAGTATACGCCATCTGGACCTGGAAACTTATTTTTAATTTTGCATATTAGCCCTAGAATTTCATTTGCATTGTGCTGGATGTTTGCTCCCTTCGCACCAGAAATGGGAGACGTCTGTCTAGAATTGAGATTAACAAGTCCGATCTCCTCCATAACCTTTCCACCACCATCTTACTGTTATGCTCCTACATCAATTACCTGTGGCTGCTTGTGAGATGCCCTGGTCAGGCAAGAATCCTCGCTTCCGGTGCTGCTCATACCAGTCATTCACTGACATTGTTGCCAGACTAGGGTAGCCAGCGCCAAACACCCTATCAAATAAAGTCAGGTCTGAGTGCAAATCTACACAAGTGCAAAATGTGGGATGTCAGGATCACCAAGCAGCCAACTCTGAGAGGTATTTCCAAAGTTGCCAAAATGAGCTAAGCCACACACACCCCTCCCCCCAACTCCATAACAGAGTGGGGCATACTTTGCCTGGGCAGCATCCCGGGTGAGGATGAAAGGTTTCATGGGAGGCCTCGGGGCATGCGATGACTGAGTGGCTGTGCCCTGGAGAAAGGGAGAGAGAGAGACAGCACTTCTATACACGCCTCTTTTACACACTCCTATAAAAGAAACAAGTAAGGACCTCCAATTGAGGCTGCTTGCAGCCTTACCATCTCTATTTACGCTCCCGCCCATTATTCAGAATGTAGCAACTTCCTCCCTTTTTTGGCCTAGTGTAGGAGAAATTATTATTTACTGTTTTGTGAAGCTACTGTAGCTATTTCCCTACTAGGTACAATTTATATTTAATTTTTTGTATATACCGTGTTTCCCCAAAAATAAGACCTACCCAAAAAATAAGCCCTAGCAGGATTTCTATGCATTTGTGGTATAAGCCCTACCCCGATAATAAGACCTAGTGATGGGCGTAGCTATGCAGCGTATCTGTGTAGCCACGCCATGCATTTCGGCGCAGGCTCAGGTGGAGGCGGAGACATAGAGACTGGAGGTTCTCCACAGTGTCCCGCTCTGGGAGTCGCAGGCCGGGAGAACCTGCCCCCAGGACCCCCGCCCGCCCGTCCAGGACCCCCGCTGCTGGCCTTACCGCAGAGGAGAGGACCCGACTCGGAGGGAGGGAGGGAGGGAGGGAGGGAGGGGAAGCCGTCGCAGTGTGTTGGCAGAGGGACGTCAGGGGTGATTATAACCCCGTCCCCTGCCCGTCTGAGGCCCCTCGTCTCCCCCCTTGGTGGACCCAGCCACCCCTGGACCGCCCGTCGGAGCCCGACCCATACCCTGGCCACGACACACGGTGGAAGTTTCCTTAGTAAAATGAGGAGCAGGACGCTCCGCTTTTTTACCATATTGTGTGTCCCCAGCGGGAAGAAGGAAAGCTGTGGTTGCTATTTTACCCAGCACCAGTCCAGCAACAGTCTGTGGGCCTCTCTCACCCCCACCCAAAAACATCAGGGGATAGGGGAAAAGCTTCAGCAATCAGTCTGCTACTGAGCCCAGAGAGATCATCCCAGCTCCACTGTGCAGACTGGACCCAGTGCTCGCTGGATCCCAAATAAATAATTCAGCCCTTACACATCAGCTTTGCTGGCCTATCTCTGCTTTTCCTGAGTATCTGTACCCCCAGACAAGATGAGTGCAAAAAGAAAGAGCTATTCTGTTGAGTACAAGAAAGGAATTGTCAAGGACTCCCAGGGCAAGAATGTTACGGCTTTCTGCAGAGAAGAAGTTGGATATCCGAATGGTCCGAAAATGGTGGGCAGAATACGATAACCTTAGTCTACATGTGGACAATGGACATGCTAAGATGCGCAAGTGTGGTTCAGGTCGCCAACCTTTATTTCCTGAGCTGGAAAACATAATCTGTGAATAGATTGCTGACAGGTCAGCAAAGGCTTTGGTTGTGCGCAGGGCTGATATTCAACCAAAGAGGTCTGCTAGTCTGGGATTCAGCCAGCACTCACCGTGCTAAAGACATGAAGAACTTCCTTGCAAAAAGGAAAAATAGATCAAATAATGATTCCCGCAGGAATGACTGCCTATCTGCAGACTCTTGATATTGCAATAAACAAGCCATTCAAAGACCGTTTGAGTGTGGAAATTAATGACTACATTGAAAACAGAATGACAAGAAATCAGCGTGGAAACTTTGTGAAGCCTAGCCTGCAAGAGGTCGTGATTTGGGTGAAGAATTCATGGAATGAAATCACTGACAGTGTTGTTACCAATGCACTCCGAGCAGGTTACATGGATAAGAGCTACTCATTTAATGAGAGCTCTATTGCTCGACATGAAAGATTGGGGGCCAATGGTTCTAAAGGAAACGGAGTTGCAAGAAATTCAGGATGGAATTCCGGGTCTGGAGAGTTATGACAATGTTCCAGAAGAAGATGACTTAACTGTATTTGAATAAATGTAGATTGTTGTATTATACTTAATAAAAATAAGACATCCCCTGAAAATAAGCCCTAGTGTGTCTTCTTGAGAAAAAATAAATATAAGACAGTGTCTTATTTTCAGGGAAACACGGTACATACCTTTCTCTTACCAAGGTTAAGGAAGCTATATAAAGCACAGCACAAACAGCATTTACAGAATAGTTTTGGGCACACGAATTGCTTTATCATCATGTGTCAGAGCTAATATGTGTCTTATTTTCAGGGAAACACGGTACATACCTTTCTCTTACCAAGGTTAAGGAAGCTATATAAAGCACAGCACAAACAGCATTTACAGAATAGTTTTGGGCACACGAATTGCTTTATCATCATGTGTCAGAGCTAATATAACTCCCGTTTTTCAAACAGAAAAAGAAGATGAAGGATGGTGATTTGCCTGAAACCAGCCAGTCATACTACCAATCAACTTGACTAGGACCCATGGGCATGGCCAAGAACCTCTCCAAATACCTGCATGCACATAACCTTAGGCCTAGTCTGTATCCTGTTGTAAAGGTGTTCCTGGACTATGTCACTTGCATCTGCAAAACAGAATGCCTTCTTCACACAAAGTCTTAGACACAAAAAACATATCTGGGAAAGAATTTAGCCAAGCCTGACCCCCATTGTGCTAATTTTCTACAAGGGCAGTTCTTTCCCAAGACGTCACTGGCCGTTCTCCGCCTGCCATCTGAAGCAGCGCAGTCAAGACACAGTTCCACCAGAGGAGGCCAGCCCTCCCGGAGAGTCGGGATCCGCTCACTCTTACAGACCATGTCCTGCAGTTTCTCACCTGTTTCAAAGCACCTCGCCGACTGAGGATGGCGGTTTCTTGGTCAATGCTTTCGATTTCCTCCAGGCTCACACTGACCCATTTTGTTATTTGTAGCAAGTAGTACTCCCGTATCTGCTCTTCGTCTGCCTGCCCACTGTCTACGGACGTTTTCAAAGAAGCCAATCTGTTCTCCAACTCCTTCTTCTGCTTGTATCTGTTTTGTTGGGAGAAAAGGAGAGAGCTCCCTACCACCACACCAAGCCAAACCACCCAGTGCCGCACCCACCCCAGCCAGCCAGCCACCAAGCAAAGGCAGGCACCGGTGGCAGGTCTGGAAAGCCCTTCCTGAGGGCGAGAAAGTCCAAAATCCCTCTCCCTCCCTCCCTCTCTCTCAGGACACCCCCATGCATGACTCCCCCCCCCC